GCCTGGATCGAGCGGATGGAGTCCAAGGAACCCAAGGAACCCAAGGAGCCCAAGGACGACACGAAGGCCTGGCGGCAGAGCCTCAGGGAGTCCAAGAAGTCCAAGGACGCCTCGCTCCCGTGGAGCGCATCCGGCCAAGCCACTCCGCTCCCCTTGCCGACTCCGACTCCTCACGGCAGCTCCCCGTCGAGCCCCCTGCAGGAGCGGAGCAGCGCTTCCCCTCGGGGCCAGGAGAGCCCCGCGGGGAACTGCAGCTCGCGGCCCTCCGAGGCTTCCCTCGGGGGGTCTCTCGCGGGCTCTCGCCAGGCGGGCAGCTGCCGCGGGCTCCTCGCCGCGGCGGAGCGGCGGCGGCAGCGCGGCGAGCCTGGCCGCCAGCTTCTGCTGCACGGCTCCCCGAGCGGTGTCCGCACCGAGGGGTCTCCACTGGCGCCCCCCCCCCGGATGCCCCTGCTTTCGTAGCGGGCCCTCGCGCCTGCGTTCCGGCGGGGGGCGCCCGCCGCCATGAAGCACACGGGTGCTGAGGTTTCTCGCCGGTTTCGGGCTCTCGGAGGCCTCAAAGGGACCCTTGTCCTAGACTCAACGCGTGTACAGTGCAGAATGCGTGCTGCTAGCACGGCCCTCTGTGGGGCCTCTGGTGCTGCAACTCGCTGTGGAGGTGGGGAAGCGCTGCAAACCCTCCTCTCCCATCTGTGCTGACTTGTGTGTGCAACTATCTTGCCAGAAACTGATTTCAGACCGATCTTCAAATGATGCTCGAAGCAATGTCGATGGAAGCAAACGCGTGCACCAACTGACCACTGGATTCCGTAGACGATGCTGCTGCAAGAGGCTGCACGAGGCCACGGGGCCGTCAAAAACAACTCAGGAAGAAAAGCCTGTCCCAGGAGAAGGAAGGCCCCGGGGTTCAGGACCTGTTCCCCTCGGGACCCGTTTGTGTCATGCCACAAGTCGCGCGTCGCCAGAAGTGGCCCTGGCCCGCGGTGGCCCCGGCTTCTCCTAGGGAGGCGCAGATGGCCTTCAGAGCACCCCTCACGAGGCCCCGAGCACACCAGAGGCCCTCAGATGGCACGAGGAGCTGAGAGCGCCTTTGGCCAGGACCACTTACGGATAGCAGCACTCGGTCCCGGTAGCCCAACTGCAGGGTCCGGCAGTGGGCGCCCAGCAGGTTCCGGCGGTGCGCAAAGCGCCGCAGGGTTACGCACCGACAGAACCCAACCCGCACAGTTGGTGGCGGCAGCAGGATTGGCCTCTCTCGAGTCACCCCTCCTGGAAGGGGTTCGACCCCTCCTTGAAGGGGCCCCCAAGGGGCCCTCCCACAGGGGGTTCTCGGCCACAGGATCCATGCATAAGGTCCAGGTTGTAGGGCAGGGCCCACCAATCGGATCCCATGCGCGGAATAGGTGGCACAGGCGGCATCCCACAGGTCCCACGTCTTGCGCCCAAACTTGTCCGCCTCATGAGGGGCAACCATCAATTGCGCTCTATGAGGTGTTCCCAGGAATTAGTAGAAGGGAGACCCCCCGCAGGGTGGAACAGCGCCCCCAGCGGCGAAGGATTTCTTATCATTCTTCTCTGGGTAAAAATTTGGGACCCCCAGCGAGCGCCCGCGGTCTCCTCCATAGGCGAAGCCAAAAGACATCGCCTCCCCGCCTTAGCAGCGCATGTAGCAAACGCACGAGAACGGGAGGGGAAAGGAGGGGCGGCCGTCCAGGCGTAAGCTGACCAGGCTTCCAATCAAGGTTAAGGTCAGGTCGCCTTGCGCCAGGTGGTGCGCAAGCAAGATAATATGCTACAGCGCAGAAATCAAAGGTGCCATGCGGGGACTGCTGCCTCCCATCCCCGCGCTGCACCGCCCTCTGGGCGGGAATAGTCAGCGAGACGGGCGGGGGTGCCAGCGATGTCCAAGCAATTATTCATTACCATTGTTCCCCACATTTGCCGGGGACGCCCTCTCTTCCGGGGGCCTGTCTGCTGCTTAAGAGCGATGTTGCCCGGTTCAAAAACAAAGTGTCTCATTGGATCGTTGCCCGCACGGCGGGCAAGCTGCCCAACGAAAATCATATGTCTTTTGACGATGGGTTCGCTGAGCGGCCGCTCACCAGCCATACTGAGCACGGTGCTGTTCGACACGCGGCTGATGTAAGCAGATGGGATCCAGAAAATGAATCTCAAACAGCGTGTCTGGAAGCCGCCTAGTTTTCTACGCTCTGCCTGATTCAGACAAGCTGCAAATGGACAGTACACAAGCTTGGAAACAACGCGTTGAACACTGCTATTTTCGATGTCTGCTCAATGAGGAATGCGACCACACCGATTTCAATGATTTGAAATCTTGTTTGGCCCTGCCGATTCTCCTGTTTAGCTCCCATCCGCATCGTCCGTCCGACGCGAGCTGGGTGCCGAGATAAGTCAAGGCTTCCTTCTTCTGCACTGGGTCTCCAGCGCCGTTCTGCAGGTTAGCGTTAGAGCGGCCCCTCATCAACTCCTCTTATCTCCAGTTCAGGCTCAAGCCGTAGTGCTTGCCGCAGTTCTCGACGCACGCCATCAGCTCGCCCACTGCGACTGGATCAGCATCGAGGAGGAGCGCGTCGTCCACGTAGATCAGTTTCCGGAAGAAGTGCGCATCGGCGAGGTTGGTAGCCCACACCAGAGCTCCTTGCGCGCGTTTGACATCAGGGTCGTCATGGCTATGGTGAAGAGAAACGGGACAGTGGGCACCCTTGGCAAATGCCGAAACTTTGGTCTCGTTCAGCGGACGATGCACCAAAATCGGACACCGCGAAAGTCCTGGCACTGTAAACTGACTCGACCACCTCAACAAATCTGTCTGGACACCCAAATCTCTTGAGCGAGGATGCCAAGGCGTCTGGCGCCACCGAGTCAAAGGCTTTCTCCCAGTCTAGCGCCAAAAGCAACGTGTGGCCGCTCTTCGTTGCCCAGGCGTCCTCTATGACTCGTCTGGCCACGAAGATCGAACATTAGCGGTGCCTCTCTTGGTGGAGCGGAAGCCGAATTGAGTTGGCCAGATGCGGACTTCGGCCCTCGCATCCTTCAACCTCTGCAGTAGGATCATCGCGAAAATGTTGTACCCGCTGGGAAGTAAGCATATCGGCCTGTAGGTGTCGCACGATGCCGGGTCACCCTTTTTGTATCGCATGCGGACGCGCGCCTTGTGCCAGGCGTCGGGGGCACGACCCTGCGTCCACACCAAATTGCTGAATTTGGTGGTCCCGCTCTTGACCGCGCAGGCCCAGACCAGGACCGGCATGCCTGCAACCACGGCTGGGAACCTGAAGACCTCGCAGGACATGAGGGTGCCGCCGTCGCCAAACCTGAACCTCTCAGTGATCTACAACCAGATGAGCGATCCCGATATCCTGCAGTACCTCATGGTAGGCCTCCCACCAGACGTCTCCCATCACGGAGATGACGCACGCCGTGTCGACCACCCCGTTGAGGTGGTCCTTGACCTTGCGCACCAGCTCGTTCCGGAGAACATGCTACTCCAGCCCTTCCTTGTCCTTCAGCCGCTCCACGGCCAGGGCGTCATGGCCTGAGTCCGAGTTGTCGCCTGCGTTCGTGACCAGCGTAGCCCGCGGCGCCTTGCACTCGGGATCGCCTGCCCAGTGGCCCTGGAGCCAACGCGCCTTGCATGTCGATTTCAACTTGCGCTGCTGCAGCTTCTCGGCCAACTCGCGACCCTTGCCGCCACCGCCGCGCGGGCCACGGCCTTGTCCAGAGGCCCCTCGTCCAGCAGCACGGCCACGTGACTTGCCCTTGGCCTTGCCACCTCCATCTCGACCTTGAATCCTGCCGCGAGCGTCCCTGATCACCTCTACAGCCTCGGGCAACTGGGACACCTGCAGCCGTCCTCGTCGGCCTCGTCGAGCTCGCCCGCCTCCTCGTCGAGCCCTTTGTCGTCGTACTCGTGGGGCTCCTCGCGTTCCTTGGCATTCACGCCCTTCACGCCAGAGCCCGTTCCCGGTGCAAACCGTCGATGTCTCCGATGCTGCTGGTGCTGCTGCCGCTGGGACAGTGACTGTCTCGCCTCCGTCGCATGCAGGTCGGATAATATTCGGATCACAATCGTCTTGATATCCTGATATGCGTACTTGTCGTCTGGCAGCTGGGAGACCACTCTCTCCCGACGCTCGGGTGTGAGGCAGCACTTGTTTAGGAATCACCATCTTAGAATGTCATCTTGGTCAGCGAAGTGGACTCGTCATCCTCAAGCCGCTGGACTCCTTCCTCGAAGCGAGCAACATAGTCCGTCGTGCGCTCGACAGCCCTGCGGTTATAGCGGGTGCCCTTGTAGAATTCACCCATCGTCTCACCACGCCTGACGGCGTACTGCCCTCCGAGCGCTGCCTCGAGCGCCGCCAGCACGTTGTTGATGTCCCGCGTGTAGTCCGATGGCTGGCCCTGCTCTAGGATCCCGCCGTCGGCTTCGCGCGTCTTCGCGACTGCTGCGAGGGGCTGAAGCTGGTCCCGAGGCATGCGCAGCCCGACTCGCCGAGCAGCCCCTCTGAGTCGCGAGACCAGCCTGGCCGCCACGCTATAGTTCACCTCGAGGTTGGTGCCCAGGGCCCAGTCGTCCCTGTAGCGGCGCCAACCCTGCGGGGCCCCATCCCAGACTGGGATGAGACTGTACCCTTCTGCAGCGCCTCCCGATGGATAGTCATCTCGATGAGCCATGACTCCCGCTGAAGGTGCTGCTGCTCGATGCTGGTGCTGAGCTCGACGCAGTCGTACTCAACCCTGCTGATGCTGAGCTCGACGCAGTCGTACTCAACCTCGCTGTAGTCCTACTCGGCGCAGCCGAGCACTCGTCTATCACCTCGACGCTGTCGAGGCCCTTGTCTATGTCCGTGGATCGCCTGCCTCAGCAGGCTCCGCTACCACTGGCGGAGCCGCGCCAGCGGTGGGTATTGCTCTCGCTCTCTTTCTCCAGCGCGCCGCGCCAGGAGGGGCAGCTGCCCCGATCGCTCTCGGCCGCCCGCGGGGCGGCAGACCGTAAAATGGTCAAGGGCCTTGGTAGGCCCCAGAGCCCCAAACGGCAGCGGCGGGCACGGGCCTCAAGGGGGCCCAGGCGGGGCTCAAGCGGCCTCAGGGGCCTCAGGAGATGAAGAGGATGATGGGGTGCACGCGAGGGAGGTAGGGCAGGAGATGGTAGGAATGCGCGCACTCCGTCATGTGGGGGGGGGTCTCTGAGGGGTTTTCGAAAACACTTGGGGAGCTGTCTTGAGTCATCTTCTTTTGTCTTGAGACATCTTGGGGGCCATCTTGAAGCATCAGAGACAGGGTAACCCTCTGGGAACGGAAGAGGGGTTTTGGAAGAGGGAGGAACAACTCTTTAGAGCACCTACGCCCAGAGGGCTGGTGGAAGTCTTCCCCAAACAACGATCGTCGTCGTCGTGTTCGTCGTCCTGCTCCTCGTCCTCCTCCTCCTCCTCCTCCCTCCCTCCCTCCCTCCCTCCCTCCCTCTAGGGGGCTTGTGAAATCTCGACCCGGCATCATATAATGCACTCCCTGCGCGCCAGAACGTAGGTTACACATCGTAGGTTCCGTCCCGTGAAGTGCCCGATTTTCTGCCAGAGGTATCAGAAGTTTACAGTCGTGGCGCTAGCATCATTTCCAGTTGTGAGTTCCAGTTGTTCTTGTGATGATGCGGCAGCGGTTCGCGACGGAACGCCATGGTTCGGCGGCGCGCCGAGGGGGGAAGTGAGAGGGAGGCGGCGGGGTGTCTTAAAGTCCCGCTGGCCTTTGAGAAGCTTTTTTGGGGTTTCGGAGAAGGCTTCGAAAATTGTTCAGGGAACCAGAGACGTTCTGAGCCTTTTGAGAAGGCCTACCTCTGCAGCCTTCCCCCTTGGCGCGCCGCCGAATGGTGAGGACGGCGCGCGGGGCCAGGAAGACGCCCGAAAGCAGAAGCTCCAGACGGTGCACGACGTGGTTGTGATCCCGGTGCGCGGTATTTTTTGTTGTGTCTCTTTTCTGCCCTCTTTGCCATCTCGTCTCCTCTGCTTCTTTCTCCCTCTCCTCGTCGTCGTCGTCGTTGTCGTCGTCGTCCTCCTTGTCTCCTCCTCGTCTTCCTTCTCCTCCTCTCTGACGTCAGAGCATGCGGCGATTGCTATATTGCCCCAGCCCGAGCCACATCTTTCGCCCAGTGACAGAGATGATCTCTGGGAGTAAGACTTGAGCTTAAACCCTCCCTGCCGCCGCTCAACTTTATTCCGCTGTTCCCGCTCCTACGGGAGTTCGCTTCTATCACCCCATCCCCGCCGACTGAGAAGCAAACCCTGCAGCATCGTCATCGCGGCCGCACCGCCACCACTGTCTGACCAGCTGCTTGCCATGATTTCAAAACTTGCGGCATCTGGAGCCGGATACTTGCAATGCTTTCGCTCTTTTCTCCTTTTCCTCCTTCCTCCGTCTCCTCCTCCTTCTTTCTGCTCTCTCGCCGTCTGGCTTCTGGAGCGCGGATCTGGGGTACTTCACAAAGGATTGTAGCGTCGAGAGCGCGAACCTTTACGACAGATTCTGGCCTCGGGATCGCGATTCCGGTGCAATTTACAAAGGATTCTGGCCTCGGGGGCGCGAACCTTGCGTAATTGACGAGGGGTTACTTCGGAGGCGCGAATCGTAAGTATTTTCACGTGTCCCAGGGCCCCCCAGAAATTGAAAGCACGCGACTCGGTCTTGCTCCTCCTCTTCCTCCTCTACCTCCTCTTTTTTTCTCCTCTCTTGCCCTCCTCCTCCTTCTCCTCATCCTCCTCATCCTCCTCTGCTGCTCCTCTGCTCCTCCTCTGCTCCTCCTCTGCTCCTCCTCCTCCTCTGCTGCTGCTGCTGCTCCTCCTCCCCCTACTCATCCTCCTCTCCCCCTTCATCCCTCCTCGCCGCCTTTCCGTCCTCTTTTCCCCTTTTTTATCTTCCTCTGACGTCACTATTTCGCCTCCCGGCTTCTCTCATCCTCTCATCCGTCGCCGATCCGCGCGCCTCCCCGCTTCTCGACCGGGTGCCCTCCCTGCCTGCCTTCCTCCATCAGGATCTCCATCCGTCTGCCAAGCGGCGAATGTACTCTGGGCGGCGCCAGCCGTGGGCCAGACCAGCCTCGATTCACGCCACCGCGCGTGCCAGCACACGCGGAAGCGTGCATCGAATCGGCTTGGTACACGGCCGGCGTCGCCCCCTCCCCTCCAGCAGGCATCCGCTCACCCGAGCGCCTCGCCTGTCTCGCAGGCTCCAGCAGCAGGAGGAGGCGGCGGTGGAGGGGGCTCCCTCCTCGTCCCTCTCCCTTCTCGTCCTCCTCGCCGCCGTGCCCCTCCTCATGAGTAACTGCTCAGGCTCCTCTCGGATACTGCTCAGGGGGGGGGGAGAGGCATCGCCGCCCAATCGCCTATCGATCACTGATAGGGCCCTGATAGCTCACCCCGCTCAGGAGTGTGCTGTTTTGGCTGTCGAGATCCTATCGCCGATCTATCGGCGATGCATCGCTGATTCCAGGTCGATGTTTTATCCCCTAAGCCTGTTCCCCCAGGGGGAGGCCCAGGAGGCCCTGCAGGGGGTTCACATTCTTGGTGCTGAAGGGGGGGAAGTCTGGGAGGGTTTCCTGGCCCTGGGCACGGGCCTCAGGTGCTCGTGCGTATGATATACCAGAAGCGCGCGTGCGCTTCGCAAGAGGGCCTCGAGTTCGAGGTATGGCTTCTCAGGGACATTGTTGAAGAGCTTCTTGGCCACCTTCAGCCGTGTTTGGGCAGTCTTGGAGCCCATTTCTTGAACGTATGCTAGAGAAAGCGGGCTTGGAGGCCTTGGGTCCGTTTTGGAGCCATCTCGGGGGCCTACCGGGTTATCTTGGACGTCTCTTCGGTATGGGGGCTCCTTGGGTCATCCTGAGGCCCTTGGGGCCGCACTGGGGCCGTACCAGTGCCGTCTGGGGGCCATCTTGGGACGGCTTGGGGCCCTCGTGGGGCGGGGTGAGACAGTGATGAGGAAAGGCTCGGATCCAGAAAGGTGGCCCGAGATGGGGCGATAACGCCATTCTGAACGACCGGCCAGGAACTTTTGGAACTAGTTGCGGAGGGGGGCGCGCGGCTCTCAGGACGTCTTCGGGTGGTAGAGGAGAGTAGTGTTCATATTGTTGTTGTGGAGGAGGTAGGAAGGGGGCTGACGAGGAGGAGTGAGGTGAAGGAGGAGGGGGAGGAGGGAGGGCCAGTGTAAACCCAAGACTCATCAGTCATGTTGGAATGAACCCTCCCTCCAAGCCCCCGAAGTGTTCCGTTGGGGGACAACCGTTTCAAGTCCTGAAGCGTGCCAAAACACCATTCCCGGGATTTCAACGCCACGATCTTGAATCGTGCCAAAACAATTCTCGGAATGCTCACACACTGCTGCGCCTTGACAATCCTAAATCCTTTCCTGGTATGTTATTAATGTGTAATGCGACTGCGTGCGGCGCTGAGGCGCGGTCCACATTTTGAAAAGGAACCGTCCGCAATCCGTGAAACTCTTGCGAAACGTTAAGACGAGTATTCGCGGCGCTAAGGTAAGAGTCACATTTTGAAAGCCACCTGGCCTCAATCCGTAAAGCTCTCGCAAACACTTACGTCGAATGTGCGCGGCGCTCAGGCGAGAACCACATTTTGGAAGCGGACCGCCCTCAATCTGTCAAGCTGTGGCCAATCTTCGAGCTTCACGATCATACATGGTAAGGAAGTCTTTGGCGGAACGCCAAGCCCGACCTTTCGACTGACCTCGGGGTGCGACATGGAGGAGTTATTCATAAAGGAGGCATTGAAGAGGGAGGAGGAAGAGAGGAGGAGGAGGAGGAGGAGGAGGAGAAAGATGAGGAGGAGGGAGGAGGAGGAGGAGGAGGAGGAGGAGGAGGAGGAGGAGGAGGAGGAGAGGAGGAGGAGGAGGAGGAGGGAGGAGGGAGGGAGAGGGAGGAGGGAGAGGGAGGAGGCGGTGAGGAGGAGGAGGAGGAGGAGGAGCGGAGGAGGAGGAGAAGGAGGAGGGGAGGAGGAGGAGGAGCAGGAGGGAGGAGGAGGAGGAGGGAGGTGGAGGAGGAGGAGGAGGAGGAAGAAGGGGAGGAAAGGGAGGAGGAGGAGGAGAAGGAGGAGGAGGAGAAGGAGGACAGGGAGGAGGGATGAATAAGGGCCCGTCGGGCTGCTGCGCGCGGTGCGCGGGCGCGCTGCGCGGCCTGGCAGGGAGTGCCGCGGGGGGCAGAGCTGGCAGCGCGGCGGCACTGCGTTCGTGGATGCCTACATGCTCGCGGCGCTCATCTGGGTCACGTGTATCCCTTGCCTATGAGCCCCAGGTGGCGCAACCCCTTCCCCCCCGGGAGCGGCCAGTGGCGTGGCGGTCACTAGGCGCTAGGCAGCGGCTGTTCTTTGGGGCCGGTGCGAAGCATCAATTGACAGAGCGCCTGGACCTCGCTCCGCCTCCAGAGTACTGGTAGTGGTAGTAGTAGTACTCGTAGTAGTAGTAGTAGTAGTAGTAGTAGTAGTAGTAGTAGTAGTAGTAGTAGTAGTAGTAGTAGTAGTAGTAGTAGTCGTAGTAGTAGTCGTG